CCACCATTCCACTTACTCTTGTTGAGGGCTGGGTGCTCCATCAAAACTTGCATTACAGCTTGCCTCAGATTCCCTGGCTGTATCTCAGCTGTTGACTCCAAAGTCACCAGCCCTTTTATCAAGGGCAGCACCTTCAGCAGTGCCTTTGGGTTACAACATTGGTTCCTGGAGATCTGCTCATAAGGGCCCAAATCAGCCAACAGATCCTTGTGATCTGCAAGGCATGTAACCAGCAAGTCAACATCAACCACTGGTTTGCTTGTGTGTCTGGCACCACCCTTGCCCATCACCCTTTTGTCAAGGGGTTAGGCAGCCCTTTTCTCAAGGGATTAGATCCCTTTTTTTCAAGGGATTAGATCCCTTTTCTCAATGGATTATTACCCTTTTCTCAAGGGGCTTACCCCTTTTGTCAAGGGTTCAAAGTGATGTTTGAGATAGAAAAATGGCTGAAAAAATCAATAAAGGAATCAATAGCAAAATCAATTAAAAAATCAATATATTTCTTATCACAAATCTGTTGATAAAATCAATAAATTTTGCTATTGAAAATTTCAATTAAAAACAATAGGTTTTAATTGATTAGAATCAATAGAGGATGCTCAGGGTGAATTAACAGAGCAGTGAATTTCGCGGAGGCATAAGGCCAAATAATCTGACTCAATCAGCGCCGTGAAACAAGAATCCGTAAAACGATAAAGTAGAAGCGTCCTGAAAGGAAGCTGACCAAGAGGCATGAAAAACCCAGAAAACGAAATCATTGAAAACAGAAGCTACCACATGGCTAGAAAAAGACGATCTGCGTGCAACGGTCTACGTGCATCAGCAGGTCGCGCAGGGTCCGAATTTTTCTGGAGCGAGAGGTACGCGGAGTTGCGTGAAACGAAAGGTGAGAAGGTGGCCGCTGCTGAAAAGGTGGAGGTGGAAGGGTGAGACAGGTTGTTGTAGTGAGCTGCTATGTCTCGGGCGGTGTGGCATTGGCTGACCGGGCGAGGCCTTTCACGATGGCGTTGTGAGGGTGGATGACCCAACACCTGGCGTTGTGGTGGAACACTGCTGCATGATTTTGCTGAAGTAAAGTCATAGCGTGTTCTTCTCCTCCGTGGGTAAATTTTGTACCAGCCCCCCATTCCAGGAGGTATATCAGCACGGAGTGAGTGTTTTTGGCCAAGTTCCAGCTGTTGTAGAAAATGCGTGCTTGTTCACTGGTGTCATGTTGGAGCTGTTGGGTTATGCGCACGCCTTGCGCAAAGAAACCCAGGTTGTGAGAGAAGTGTAGAGTGCTGGGAAGAAATTTGCCTTGTTGTAAAATGCTGGTGGTGTTGCCGACGTAAAACGCTGGTGATGTTGCCGACGGGGCCGGTGTGACTGGCGTGGATATGGACAATTTCAGGTGATGTGGAAGTGGCTCGAGTGGCAGTAGGGGGGGAAGCGGCGGTGTGCTTTCTGTGACAAGGAGGGAATGGAGATGTGGTTGAAGTGGAAAAGCTCGTATTGGTTGGTTGTAGGGTTCCATTTGATGTGGGTGAATTGGCGGTAGTCGCACATCGTTGTGAGTGAGGCCGCTATCTAGCAAGATGCGGGCAATGTAGGTGTGGTGAGGTTTGTTGGGTGTGTCGAATTGGTCAGCATGATAGTCCACCCAAATCTCAAGTTGCTCTTGTGGAGGTTTTTGGTGGAAAAGTGGTGGAGCTTGCCATTTGTTGAGAACTCTGCGGACAGAAGGATGGGTGGGATATGTGGTTTGTGGATGGCTGGAGGTAGATTCCTGCTGTAAACAGTCTGTATTGGGTAGCAAGGAAATGGTTGGTCGTGAGCGGCTGCGGGATGGACTGCGTGAGTAGGAAGAGTAGGAATAGGAAGAGGAGCGTCGACGGCGTGAAGGTTTGTGATGATGGGCGCTGCGTGGTGTGCGATGTGCATGGCGGCCTCTCGACCGGCCTCGGCGGTGGTGATGCCGTCGGCGTCTTCGGCCGTGTTGACGGTGACGTTGATGTCGCCTGGGTTCTGGGTGAGATGGTGCCTGCCACTGAGATGGTGGAGGGCCAGTGAGATATGTGGTGTCTGCTGTGTCGGATCGCGCTGATCCTGCTGGAGTTGAGGGCGGTGGTATGTTTTGTTCAGTGACAGCTTCTGTGGAGGGTTGTGCTGGAGGAACTGGGGGGCTGTGGGGGTCGGTGATGGCTGTGATGGCAATGTTGGTGCCGCGGCAATGGGTGGTGGAGCCACAGTGGGTGTAGAAGGTTCTGAGGGAGATGGGTCTTTGTCTGTAGCTGTCAGTTGACCAGGTTGTGAAACTGGCGGGAAGGCTGAGAAGGGTTGCTGTTGCCAGACTCCCTGATGGGGGTCCCATGTGAGAATGGTGGTGAGTGGTGTAGGGTGGTTGGGTGGCGAAGTGACAGGTACCGGAGCAGGTTGAGGTAATGCGGCAGCTGATGGAGAAGAGAGAAGAAGTTGTTGGTAGGATCATGGGCTCAGGTGTAGGCAACAGGAAAGGTAGGATGGGAAGGTGGAGGTGGCAAATGCGTCGGTTGAAACTGAGGTGGGGCGGTAGGTGGCCATGTCGGCTGTGGTGGTATGGTTGGTTGTGGGAATTGTGACAGCATTGGAGGTAATTGTTGTGGAACTGCATAGAATGGTGTCGTTGTGTGAGGTTGAGGTGGTGGTGGATATGGATAGGGCCACGGATATTGCATTTCGACAGAAACTGTCCTGACTGGCGGCTGAAGCAGCGGCAAAAATGGCGCCCGCGCGGTGGGTCCGCAGATAAAGAGAAAGACACAAGAAAGGTAGAAAAATGAAATGAGATGGAGAATGCTGCATGCAGTTAAACAAGCTGGTGATAAAGATGGTGAGGTAAAACATGTCTGATCGCAAAACCATTGTGGTGGAAAATGGGACACTGTACACGCTTGAAAGTCAAAGCGAGCTGCAAAAACGCATACATAGTCAAGGAATCAAAGGTTTTTGTCCGTACAAGCGCGGCGGCCGTAGAAGCAGTCGATCCAGTACTGAAAAAGGGATCAGTTAAGAGAATCCAAGGAGTGGTGGAAAGGGAAAATCCGTTACACGATTTCCAGCATGAATTCAGCGCCCCAGTGACGGGGATCACACCCAGCACCCAAGTGGGACGACTGAGCGGTTCACACTCTGACATTGGTTTTCAGTTAATCCATTCCCAAGTGGAAAAAGGTGAGGGAACAGCAAGGCGAGAAAGTCAGTTCACTTGAAAGGTTGAACAAGTTGCTTTGCGTGACTGCAGAACGATCAGCGCGGCTGCGCATCTGCGGTGGAAAAACGGGTTTAGGGGAGGAAACATGCAAGGACCATGGAAACAAAGCGATCAAATTGGACAGCTTGATCAAAAGTTCACGTTGCAGGTACAGGAATGTGCGTCCACATTCCCTTCCACCTGAACCCCATAGCTTCGTTGGCATGGCTAGGGAAACAGCTGCCACGCCCCCTGCTTGAGAACATGTAACCAAAAACGAAAGGGGAGGACTGTGACACACACACACACACGTGAACCGATTCCCAAGGAAACTGTCGTTACTAGAAAGCAGTGTCTGAGATGGTTTGATTCTATCTTCTCCGACCCAAATGAGCAACAAGTTCAGGTAAAACCAGGAGAAAGAGGTTTAGAGTTTTGAAGATGACACGTAGGAAACTGTTCAAAGGCAAAAAACCGTTCCCACCCAAGACACAAAACGCGCGTTTTTTCCCACACATTTTCTTCTCCGTCGTTTCAGACCCTGCGGATCCCACCCCAGCCTTTGCGCTTCTGCCCGCGGGTCCGCCGTGGCCTGCTGGGCGCAGATGGTGCCATTCGCCTCAAAAGGCAAATGCGAAAATCCGAAAGGAATGAACAAATAGCCACTGCTAAGAACGGTCTGAACATGCCAAACATGGGTCTTGGATTCGCCAAAACCCCGAAATTTTGGTGACTTTAGTGGACTCTGCCAGGAATGATGGAATTGCCAAGCTGGCTTGGCAAAGAGCTGTCGTCATAGCTCGACACCAGTTTCGGTTGTAAGCGCACACTCGAGATATTGCGCGCTGACTTGATTGCGGGTTGCCACTCGCCAACCTAAGTAGACCGCCTAAGGGCCCAGGTAAGTTAAAGTCAACCGCGTGAATCTGTATCCTCCACGAGGCCTCCAAAGGCCGTGAACGCGAAAAGCGACGACAGGGCGACGACGGACGCGCGCATCACATCACCTGATGAACCTGGAAGCAGCCTAAGCGCGGGAGGACCATTGGAGGCGGCGTTCAAAGCAGGTACACGTAGGTGATCAATCTCCGCTTCCCCGATCGTGGAACAGCTTCGTTGGCACAGGTATCCGTGATGCTGCTAAAGAATCAAAGGAATCCCTATGAGTCCAAGGGTTTCACGCTTATGCAAACGCGTGCGGAACTGAATGCCACATGCCACACGCCCACCTATAGGCCCAAGAGTTCAGGTAGTCTCCATATCCCAAAAAACGAAAGGTGGCGACAGGATGACGGCGATCGTGCGCATCTGCAGAGTGCAAAGCCGGCGCAAAGGCTGGAGTTCTTGTTCTAGTTAAAAGCAGGGGCCAACAACATAGGACCCACCAGCTGTACTTAGATGCCCAGGTGCGGTCAACAGCAGGTACGTTTACCTGATCGTCCAGTGTGGAGTTTCGTTGGCAGAAGCCACGGCTGGCGATCCCTCTGCCCCCTGTTGTACACTGTAAACAAATTCAAAAGAATCCGTGTGACCCCAACAGATACACACACACCTACCAGGAAGTTTCCTTAGAGGCGCCAGGCCACTCTGCAGCCTCTTCAGAAATAGAACCCATTAACATCAATCAATTCATATAGCAATCCTTTGCCAAACTTCTGAAGAGAACCACGGAGGACAAAGAAGCTGTCATCTGTTTCGCCCTGAGGTCAATGCACATCTTCGCCTAGCCAAGGAGAGCTGCGCCGCTTCCTTGGAGCTGAAAGATTCGTGCCAGATTTCGGTTCGGGCGGCGCCGACCCCAAACAATTACCCACAAATTGGTTTTCCGGAAAATCCGACATCCCGGTTTCAACATTCCACCGATCTGAGCATGAAGCCCTTGATGCCAAGGCACCTAGAGGATGCAGAGAAGGGCTTTTCAGGCGCCTGTGTGAAGGTGTCCACAAGTATTTCACAAGTGGTTCATGTTCAGGCAGCTGATTCAGTTCTTATCACTTCACCAAACTCAGGATCAATCTGTAGAACTCCTTTGTCGCTGCGAATTGGCAAGTTTTTCACGAGTCTTTGTTTGATCTGCGAAGTAACAGCGACATCGAGTTTGACTGAGATTTGGGCGGTCGGCCATTTTCGCTGACTCGGCGCCTGAGACGAGAATAGCAGAATAAGAGACAGTTAGGTAAGGCTCCCGTTAAAGGGGCCTTCCTTCACTTCTGGGAGTGAGGCGGTTAGATCAGCTAGGGGCCAGATCGGTGATGATTTTGCTATTTTTGGAAAACTCAAAAGTATATTATAAGTAAATATGTTTTTAATATGAATATGGATGCTATTCCTGCTTACAAAAACAGTATCGCTTAATAAGCGAAAACAACCAAAATCAGTCGAGACACACCAAAGAATCAACCTGAGTCAGAGAAGGTTGAAGTTAAAGTGAGGTAGATCTTTTTGCAAGATCAAAAAAGTAGTAGCCAGCCTTTTTCGATACTAGTCTTTTCTATACCAATGACGTTAAGCGGGGACTTTCTTATCCCTTTTGAATGCCTTTGTAGGAGTGATTGAAACTATTTGTACTGTATACGGTGACAAGAACATTGCTTGTCGGTTTAAACGAGAGAACGCATATTGTCAACAAATTAGCAATTTAGGTAACTTCGTACTCCTTGAGTTCAAACTAGTTCAACTTGTCACTTGACATGGGACATTTGAAGTTGTTGTTGTGGACAAGTCAAGTCTCAGCGTTTGAGTTCATGTGTCACTTGACCCCTTGCATGCATCACTTGACCCTTTACATGTGTCACTTGACCCTTTACATGTGTCACTTGACGTCACGTGACCAATTTGAATAATTGTCATATGACTCCTGACTGATGTCTTTCTTCGAGTTCTTCTGTCTTCAAGATGTGTGGCACTGAGATCAGTTGAAACGAAATGGTAAACCGAGACTTAGCAGTTCAGGGCATGATTAATGATGCCAGTCAACTCACTTAGAACCAGTGGTCTTGAACCAAGTCGATTGTTTGTTCCAGTTGTCACTTGACACCTGCCGAATTGAGGTCTGACAATTGGTCTTCTGGCGCTCTACATTCGTGGAAGTGCTCACTCTTACTTTCATTTCGCTCATGGGCCCCATTTGTCAATCAATCATTTATTGAACACTTGGTATAGTCACTTTGAACTGGTTTGCTCATTGATGACTTGCTGACTGTTTGCTGATTTACCACACTGATGGTTCATTTGAATTTGGCGCAAACCAGTCACATGACTCATGAATGACATAACACTGATTCACAGAATCTTCACGACGCTTCAATTCACATATGTTCACACTTTCTGCGCATTTTTTCCTTGAAGATGGCGGGCTACTCACGCTACATGGACATGGAGGGCTGCGGAGGCTGCCGCCAGAGGGTTCCATCCCTGGTATGTACACAGTCTTTGAGGCAAGTGGTGTTGGTGTGGTGTTGATTGACAGATTCATTCATGAAAGACTTTATTGGAATGAATTTCTGATTTGGCTGGCCAGGAGGAAGAGCAGATCATATTTCCACATTTCACTGAGCGCCTTGATACAAATTATGCATCTCTACTTGTTAACAAGGAATGAAATAGAGCACAGGTGAAGTCAGCCAGACTAGGTAGACTGGATAGATGACAGTTACTATGCCTAAGGATGGATGGTGGGAGGAAGATCTACATTCCTGAGCTCCAGGACCATCCAAACTTCAAGTGTCTTGTCTATTGTCACTAGTGTCTTGATCTCTGAGTTGAACTCAATAGTAATAAGTGACATTGGCTTGGTTGAACATGTTACATATAAACATATATAATAGATATACATATCGAGGCGTGAGCTTTGTAGTTCACATTCGTATCATTCGCTTAGGAAAGCTTTGGACCACATGGTGGAGCACTTCAAGAGGATCTTCAATGTTGAGATGGACACTGAGATTCGTGAGTGGAGAAAGAGGAGCAAGGAGGAGTTCCTCCAGAAGTTGCAGGAGGTGACTTGGACAATTAATTCATGAGTCAGTCAGGAACCTTTGGTTGAGTGTCTTGAAAGAACTTATCATTTTGACCATTATGTCATTCAGTCATGTGGCATTTCTTGAACTGATCAAATCCTATATTAGTAATTCTAATGTGAGAGTTGGTGCAAGGGTGATGCGATCTGGCGCGCAGTCCCATCAAACATGGAGGGCGATGGCATCTGGACGATCACTGAGCAGAGCAGTAGCTTGGAATGACATGAACTGACAGACTCAGTCAATGCAAATCAGATGTGTCAGACACTGTTCCAAAATCAGCTCAAATATCTAAGAAATGATTATTCATCGCTTCTCTGGCGTCTTTTGTCACCTTGTGGTCCTGAAGTATGTGCTCAACGCCACCGGCATTCATCTTGTGATAGGCAAGGTTGGCTCTGCTGACTACTGCTGTTTTGACAGTTGTTCAAAAACGTAAATGAAATAGGTGTTGTAGTCAGTTTCAAGATCTGAAGTGAAATGAATTGAATGTTGAGCTGGTGCATCATTCATTGCAAACAAGACTTCTGTCAGATCCATGGTAGCCTGACACTGACTATGAGCTGGAGAATTCCCTGGTTGACGAGGAGGATATGATCGACGCCTTTGTTCAGGCTTTGAATGTCAGGGTCAGTGAAACCAGCGGCAGCTCGGATATTCCAGTGCCGGATGATATCCCGTTGCCACCGGATGATGACTGATGGCGTCGTTTGACGTTTGACTCGACATGTCACTTGGAGACATGAGTTTTTAGATAGTGGCATGAATGAACATGCCATGGAGTGTTTAGATGTGGCCTGACTGTGGCCTGTGAAGTGAAATTACACCACCGTAGACCCCAAACAGTTTGTGTTTTTCAACGTCGAAACTAGAGCTTGCGACGTCCAGAGCTGGGAGACAAATGTGAAGGATTGCAAGGCAGAGACGGACTCAGCAGTACAGAGCGGGCGGACACATCTTAAGAAAGAATTGGGAAGCCCTAACAGTAAACCTTTGGGGGAATTATTCTTCAAACGCGCGCGTGATGCTGGTCATGCTGCTAGAAACAGCGGAAAAGGGCGGCAGCACCAGTGACAGACCCGGGAAACAAATGAATAGAAATGCTGCACGCCCAGCGGAAAAGGGCGGACACCACCAGTGACAGGCATAGAAATGCTACATGGCACCAGCAGTGACGGACCTGGGAGACAAATGAATTGCTTCATGGCCAATAGACAAGGACACACCAGTGACAGACCTGGGAGACAAAAGAATAGAAATGCTACATGGCCAGCGGCAAAGGGCGGACAGCAGTGACAGACCTGGGAGACACATGAATAGAATGCTGCATGGCCAACGGACAAGGGCGGACACCCCGACCACAACCAGCGTGGGGGACAAATGAAAAGAACTGGGAGACAAATGAAAAGAACTGGGAGACAAATGAAAGGAAGTGGGAGACAAGCCGGCCGGCCAAGGCGACCATTCTTTAAAGCGTTGAGAACCCCTAACAGTAAACTGTTTGGGGAAAAAGGCGGGGTTCTTCCAAGTGAATGCCATAGACCCAACGCTAGTTCTAATTATCTCAACCTTTCATCGCAACTTATTTGATTGCCAGGCGTTGATTGGAGGCAAGCTTTGTTCTCACTGGCCTGGCCCTGAAGTACAGAGCATAGGAGTGTAGTTGACGTTGTTTATTCTCTCCAGGTAGGTAGGTAGGTAGGTAGGTAAGGTAAGGTAAGGTAAGGTAAGGTAGGTATTCAAGTGGACACTGGCGGTAGATATTCAAGGTGAAAAGGTGACAGGTAGACAGCTGGTGATTTGCGTACAGCTGCAGAGAAGGCTGGCAGGAGTCTTGGTTCAGGTGTTCAAGTATCAAACATTCAGCCAGTCTATTTCTTAGTGCTTCTTTCATCGAATAATCAGGGTGCTCAAGCCACTTGACTTGACTGACTGGGCATTGATTGAGTGCAGCGCTTGAACTCATGCATTTGCACCCATCAATGCAGCCGCAGTGGTATCTTCGCTTAGGCCCTGTACCTTCTTTACATCACCGACCCTGCACAAGCTGAGAATCTGGCGTGGCTGCCCTAGTCTGTGAACTATCAATCAAGTCACCAAGTCAACAACAGTCAATACCAGCATTCTTATTATTGTCAATGGACATACTAATATAAGTGAGGTGTGAATTCAAGTGCTGCGATGTGGCTAAGGACACATATCGTGAGCAATGAGCACCGAATCAACAAGGTCGAAAGCCATGTCCTCAAGTCATGCCAAAGAGGACTCCAGCAGTCTGAAACTAAGTGTGTTTTGGTGGAGAAGTGCATGGTAAGTGTATACACTAATATTGTATATACTAAATTGATGATTATGGTTTATGACCAGAAAGAATACACCTCAGCTGTACTGAGGATCAAAAATGCCAGAAAGCGAGCGTCAGATCGAAGTAGAGTCATCTGAAGACAAGGACATTTCACCATTGTGCGCAGTCAGTGTCATTGAGTCATATGTTTCCATGATGAGTTGAATAATGTCAGTGGTTGACAGTATTCTTAGTCAACATAGTGTGACATACCTAAGATGTGGTAAATGGGTAAAGCTTGTGAAACGGAATCATATCTATATGAGATCAGCAGCACACAATGACTCAGTCACAGGAGTCTGATTGGGCTGAGATTACTATGCTGGATGGTACTCTGGTGAAATGGCCATCCAGAGTCGTCATTGTGGGCTATGGGTTGCATTGGAAAGCCTGCTATGGCCCAGCGGTTGGGAACAAGTCCGCAATTTCAACTTGCACTTGTGCTCCATAAAAACACATGGCCTTCCTTTCAACCTCTAAAGCTAGCAAATTGTGGCGCAGGTGATCATGGGAGTGGCGACTGGCCCAACTACTGCCAAGAAAGACGCTTGCCCCAAATAGTTCAGTGAAGTGGTTTGCAAGTCTCGTGACATCAGCTTGCAAAAGTATACACAAACTGTGTCCAATTGCCAGTGTGACCTTGCTTCGACCTTGATTCACTGAACCAAGGGAGGAGGAGGATGAGAGGATGAAGGGTGGCTTCCCAAAGCACCTGAGTGGCTGGCATCGGCCCATTCAGAAATCGGTGTTCGAACATGCGGAGGCCCACATCGCAGTTG